CGGCGGCCAGGGAAGGCGATGCTGCCCTGGCCTTGGCCGCAGGATGCTCTCGGCAGGGCTGGCACCCCGGCATTCCCAGCTTTCCTCCTGCCGAGCGAGCGGGATGATGATCCCTGGGCGGCGGGTGCCGGTGGTGGCGTGGCTTTGCCAGATGGGGCTGCTTGAAAGGCGCTGGTGTGGCAGAGGGAAATTTAAAGGGTTGGCGAGTGCCCGCGCTCGAAATGCATGCTGTGGCTCCCTTCGGTGCGATCTCCTCTTCCTTCTCCTCCTCCTCGGATGCTGGCGGCTGCAGCCTCGCTGTCGTGGCAGTGGTTTGGTTGGGGAAGTGCAGGCATGACCTCGGTCCTGCGGCACCCAGGCAGCTCGGCTACAGTTCCTGTGGTGTTGGGGTGGAGGTCCCCGAATTTGGGCTTCCCCAGGGATTTTCTTCTGCGGGATGGGGGGTGAGCACAGTGCTGGCTGCGCTGGCTGGCAGCGGCACTCTGCGTGCTCTAATGTGCCTTCTTGCATGCATTCATGTGTCCTTACTCACATGTGCGTGCTTTTGCATGCTTTTACACACGGTGGCTCACTCTTGCACCCTCCTGCGTGTCCTTACTTACACTTGCATGCACTTGCATGCTCCTTCATGTCTTTGCTCCCTCTTGCATGCTCCTTCATGTCCTTGCTCACACATGCCTCCTCTTGCGTTCTCTGGCACAGTCCTGCATGTCCTTGCTCACATGTGCATGCTTTTGCATGCTCCTACGTGTCCTTGCTCACTCTTGCACACTCCTGCGTGTCCTTGCTCACACATACATGCTGTTGCATGCTCTGACATGCTCCTGCATGTTCTCACATGCATGTGCATGCTTTTGCACGCTCCTACATGTCCTTACTCACACATGCATGCTTTTGCATTTTCTGGCACACTCCTGCGCGTCCTTGCTCACACATACACGCTTTTGCACGCTCCTTCATGTCCTTTCATGCTCTCGTGTGTAAGCCAGCTCCCAAACCAGGGCCCTGCCTGCACGGCTGCGATTAGGGTGCTGATCGGGGCCCAGCCCAGTGCTGCTGGCCTCGATAAGCTCCTCTGCTTGCCGCCCACCTGGGGGGTCCCTGGGGACTGGAGGGACTGCAAGTTGTCACGGCTCATGGGGACACAAGGGTGTTTAGGGCTCCCAGGGTTCCCCTGCTGCACTGGGCACCCATGGCCGAGGGTTCCCGGTGACTCTGGGGTGCTAGGGGAGCCCCAGGCAGGGTTCTGGCCATGGGGACCCCCAGCCCAGCTCCCTGCACCCCTTGGGGGCCTCAGCACTCTCCTGCCTGGTGCGGCCACTGACAGCTGCTCGGAG